TACTAAAATTAAGTGAAAATAGCAGGTTTAGGAACTGAAAAAAAATGTTTTTCTTCCTGAGTTTATTTAACCATTTCACTGCCTCTTTGTGTAATTCTTCCAAACACCACCCCCAAAAACCCTAAAGAATTCGTGAATAATAGGCTGGTTGTGTACAAGAATTAAAGAGAAAACATGGGTTTTTTTTTTTTCCTGAAATTGATTTTAGTTTGCTTCAAAATATTAAAAGAATTAGTTGAAGCGCCATCTAGTGGTTCTCAACCATGTTGTGCTTAAGCCTCCCTCAATTTGAGAACATAGTTATATTTGGGGACATATATAATGTTGAGATCAGGCTGTTCTCTGCTCTAAGTTATACCATATTGTATAAAACAATATTTCTCAAACTGTGCCTTGCCCTGACCAACTCCATTTTACAAATAACATTTGACTGTATTTTGAGTGTAAAGGCAGAAGCTGAATGGTCTTAGCAGTATAGAAACGCCACCTATAAGACACAGACAATTAAAAGAAATTCCTAAAAGTAGAAACTATGTCACCCTACAAATTGATCTGTAAATTAGTAAATTAGAACTGTATGAACATATGAGCGCATTGAAGTTATACCAGGAAAACAAGGCCCAAGGATTTACCAAACACACCAGATTGAGGGAAAGTTGCAGCACCCTCACCAGGACTCCATAAAGAGGACACAGCACAGTGATGGTGAAAGCCCCAAAAACCTGTTATCTTTGTGTGCAAGGGGCTGAGAGACAGAGAGAACTCCTGACTGTGCCATGAGCTTCAGCTTGGCTTGTCCCCACTATTGATGTAGCCTACTCACATTGCCATCATTCCATCCATCAGTCCATCTGGCTGGACCCAGTCCTGCCCTTAGCCTCTATTACCTCCACAGTCCCACACTTGTTTGTACAACTTGACTCAACTCTCAGGCTTAGCTCAATTCTGTCTCTGCAACTTGACTTTACAGTAACAACAGCAGCATCCCCAGCAGACCCCCAGTGGTAAGTTATTAGACCTTCTCCCACCTCCTGACAGATTCTTTCATATCTGCTTTTGCCTCTCACATAGGCCTCTTTGAAACTTCTTGAAATCTGCAGAAGCCTCTTTAACCTTATATAGACATTCTGGAAACAGGTAGAAAGGGAGATAGATTTGATATGTGATGTATAAAGTGTGATCTGAGGGTTAATATTAGCAGTTAGGACTGGACTAAAAGAGGCTAGGTTATCTCAACCCACTATCAAGGGAATCAGGACTGGTTGACAAATTATTTCCAACAAAACAGCTGTACCAGGGGTAGAGAGAGAGAATATTAATGCATCTCTCAACTCTCACCAGTGAAGCTTCCTGATGCAACAGAATTCAATGCATACAGAAGGTCACAACTGGCCAAAGTGTAGAGAATAAGAGATGGGACAGTGTGTGTGTGTGTGTGTCCCTGGATAGGACTCCTATATTAAACCTCAGCCACCAAGGGCTCAGGAACCACTGCAGAAGAGGGAGTAGAAAGATTGTAAGAGCCAGGGTTGGTACATGAACATAAAGAAACAGAGTCTTTCATGTCTCTCCCTGAGAACTTGCTCATATGAACTTGCAACAATGGTGACAGCATGCACAAGACCATCCTGATTCAATCAGACAAGAACCCAGCTTAGAACTATGGCAATGGACAGCAAGCTCTAAACTTAGCTGAGGAACGATTGGTTGCAGGGTGAGGGAGAGTAGATATTCTTTAAGGGAGTGACTCTAGATAGGCTAGACTAGACTCCAATGGATGAACTTGGACCAAGGCACCTCTGGGTACAAAAGCTTGACTGGATAGGCCAAGCGTGAAACCTCTAGGGGTATGTGGATGGAGGAGGGGGTCTAAATGTATTTAAGATTTATGGTATGAAATGAAAAAAAATTCAATAAAAGTACATTTAAAAATTAATTTTAAAAAACAGCTTATCTTATGAATTTATTGTTACTAAATTCTGGCATCATAGAAAGACCCAAACATGTCCATCTATGTTTCTGGCATATTGTAATCACAATAATATATATATATATGTATGTATGTGTACAAATATAAATGTGTGTACATGTATATATGTATGCATATGTGTTTTAAAATTAAAAAATAATATTTTTCTTAACTGTGTAGAGATGAGATGGGCTGTGGGTAAAGTGGCTGTGTAGGCTTTTTAATCTTGCAATCTAACATTGCATAGAAAAGTGTGGGAGTAGGAGCGGATGGAGAAGTGCCATTTGTCATTCTCACAAATGATGGAGTCCAGTTGATCTCAGTTCCTTTGTTTTCCTACACACATCCTTTCTGAAAGCCTGTGACAGTGTTGCCTCTTGCAAATCTAGCACAAACAAGACTTCACATGTCTAAGGATGACATGGCTGACTACTGGATTACATTTTCACATCCTCAGATTCTCAATCCCTTCCCTACCACAAGCCCACAGTATCTCTTAACCCTACATTACCAACATTTGTCTTGTAATTGTCATAGAGATGACTCTATGACCCATTGTTCCTGTCTTCTGAAATTGCTTCATTTCCTTTGGGACAAGACTAAAAAAAAGCCAATGCATGCACATGAATGAAACATAACCAATTGTTTCAAGCCACAAAGGTTCCAATTGGCTGACTAAGCATTTGTACCAATTATAATTAAGTTCGGTTAGGTGCAGAGCAAAACCCAAAGCAGTGTGTGACAAAGTAGTTTATTCCTCTCACACAAAGTCCATAGATAAATGGTGTAGGGTTGGAGAGACAACTCTACTGCCATCGGGACCAGATCTTTCCATCTCTTTCCCTTCATCTCAATAGGTAGATTCCATGCTTGTCATCCGCGGCTCAGTCTGACTATAAAACCTTGAGTCAACACACACCACTATGGCAGTCCCATAGATAAGTTGGAAAGTAAAAGAAGGCCTTTCTGTTTCTTATTTATTTATTTATTTTTATTTTACAGGTATGAGTGCTTTGCTTGCACGTATATGTATACCACATATGTGCAATGCTTGAGGAGGCCAAAGGAAAATGTTAGATTCCTTAGACAGTCTGTTAGCTTCCATGTGAGTGCTAGGAACAAAACCCAGGTCCTCTAGAAGAAGAGTCAGTGCTTCTAACTGATGAGCTCTCTTTCCCCAAGCCTTTCTAATTCTTTAAAGAGATATCCTAAAAATATCACATATTTCATTTGCTAAACCTGATGGCGATGCTCAGTTGTAAGTAAAACTGAGAAATTATTTGTGTATAGCCATACACTAAATAAAATTGGAGTTGTGCCATTGAGCAAAGTATTAGTGACTTAATGCCTCAAAAATGCTATGTCATAAGCAATCACAGGAACTCTGTGGCAACAAATTCTCATTTGTCTATGATCAGCAGGGGTTCGTGTCTGATAATCTTGACTAAGCACACTCAAGGGCCTTGGGCAAAGCTGACTCCTGGATCCTTTCACTGGCATCAGTGGAGAAGTGGGAGGTTGGATTGAGATGGATCATCTATGCTTTATGTGATTCTATTCCTCCAGCCATCTAAGTCATGTATATTATCTTAGAATAGCAAGAGGAAAAGCTCAGAGGACCTCTTGAGACCCATACTCAAAACTGGTACACTACCACTTGTGTCTCTCTTTATTGGTCAAAGAAAACTGTGGAATGGGTGAACAGGCTCTCTGTAAGTAAAGGACATTGAGTCTACTACAAAATTACATGACTAGAGAGAAAGGTGAGGTGAAGGGTTTAGTCATGAATAGAATTGTCTTCTTCAAGTAGAAAGAGATAGGTGCAGGTAAGTTGTAATCCCTGTCATGATCCTTTCTAGTCTGATGCAGAATTATATTACTATATTGCTTCCCCTTTTTGCCCTGACTTTAAATAATTGTAATAAGAGCTAAAAGAGCTCAAACCTTATATTTGTTTGAGTGGCACTAACTAATATAGTTATTTCTTGACCCCTATTGAATTCCTACTATTCGGTTAGGTATTAATCTTAGTACTTGCCCTGCTGTTTACTGTGGGCAGAGATCGGCTAAATGTGCCCCAGTTCTGATTCTTCTTCCACGTCAGCAGGGATACATTTTCCAAGCTCCCTATGAGTTAGTATGGTTATAAACAGTATCAATTAATGGAATGTGAGCAAAAATGATTGTTACTCCATCCAGCCTTGGTCCATAAAAATTTCATTACATGTGAAATTCTCTACATTCCCCAGTCACCTGCTGAATAAAGACTACTCTACAAAGAACAGTCACAGGATTAAATAACAGCTTAGAGCAACACCTCTCCATCCCCTGTCCTGGCTCCACCAATTACATTATAGTGGGGCATGAATAAGAATTAAACTTTTGTGGTGAGTAACCAAGAAGCTAGGATGAAAGCAGCATCTGACTAGGCCGCCATCCTGGGAAAGCCTCCTCTAGTGTCATGCATTTGTTTTCTAGATTTTCACTAAAAATAAAAGTAATAGCCCCAAATGACTTGCCACTTTACACAAGAAATAATCCCTTTAAATAAAAAGGATACTAAGAAATACCTTTAAAATGTTCAATATCCTTAGTAATTAGGGAAATGCAAATCAAAGCTAAGCTAACTCTGCTTAGCTAGTTAGACTCTCCACACACTGTCGCCACCCCTGCCATGGGCCTAGACCCCCTTCTGCTCATCCGGCCTGAGACCTCTCACTATTCAGTTTCTTGTTGCAACATATGGAAACTATTACAGAGTTCCACAACTGGTCAAATGCAGAAAATAAGGGTGTATGAGATGCCCAATCCTAAGTGACAGATCTACAATGCAACCTCTGCCCCTGAAACTCAGGGAACATATCTCAGGCAGAGAGAAAATGAATGCATTTCTCAACCCTGACCAGCAATGCTTTCTCATGCAACAGATGGCAATTAACCCAGAAAACCATAACTAGCTAAAATGTAGAGAATAAGAGACTGCAGAGACACTGAATCCTCAAAGCGGGAGCCAGGCTAGGTCTCTCCTAGGTCAAAACTGCAGTAGCTGGAAGTTTTTGCCCAGTGCTGTGGGCACTTCTGCCCAGGCTCTGCTGTTAACACGCTTAATGCTGAAGACTGCTGAGGGACAAGCACGAGCCATAGAACATGCTTTCCCAGCACAATGTTTGCTTTCTAATGAAACAACATTTCAGTCTCAGTTCCTACCTGAAATAGTTTTCTGGGAGAAGGCAAATGCCATAATGACCAGAATAACCACAAAGAGAGAGAGTTTCACATAGAGAAAGATCAGGAAAGATAATGCTGGAAAGATGGGAATTCTGATACCTTTAAGTACAGGAAAGGGTAAAAGTCAGTTTAACTATTCTAACCAACAAATTAGAGGCGATAGTTTAAAAACATTTAAAATATTCCTAAAAGTTTAGAAACGTCAAATCAGAAAGTCTTATTAATTATAATTCATATTATTCATATACTATTATTTTATGATGAAGCTTAGGAACCATGTCTGTCTCTTGTACTTGGTAGGTGTTTAATAATTGTTTCCTCAATAAATAGAAGCAAATTAAGTATTGTTACTATTTCCCAATTTCATAAGAGAAAAGTTCTCATGTGAGCTTAGCATTTTGAAAGGCATTATTCTTACTATCTGAGACATGATCACGTAACACTTCCCATACACAGTAAAGTGCTCTTGTCACTGTGTTGGCCTGAAAGTTGTTAGAAAATAAATCACACTTGTTAGAACTTGTTCTGAAATCTTCCCTTCTATGAAAATGGCAGCCTAAAGAAAGTATGAACTCTAAAATTTGGCTTTCAAGTGCTAGAGACCATTTCATTTCATTAAATAACCTGTCAAAGACTGAAATGGAAGAACCTCTTGGGCAATCTCCAAGACACTGTGAGGAAATGAGAAGATGCCGTGACCTCATAAAGCTCAGAATCCAAAGAGAAATCAGAGCCACACAGGTGAAAAGATGGGCTTACAAGAAAGCAAACCGTGCTGAGTACAGCGTGCTAGTGAGCATCTCAAGAATAAGGCTGGTTATTCAACACTGAGAGTGTGCGAGAAGCTGGTCCACAGGATTAAATAGTCAGGAGAAGAGGGGACATTTTAAAGGAAAGGGACAGCTAGAACAACGATCTGAAAGCAAGGTAAGCTAAGTTGTGTTTGGAGCATAGGGAGGGAAATACAGGACTAATGAACATAGTTGCTACTCTACAGGGGCTTATGCCGCACAGAAGTCAGATAAGTAGGTGCTTGAGATACAACGAGAAATGCATATTTGGTCTTTGTTCTCCAGCTCCTGGCATACAGCCACTAAAATCTTAGACTTACAGCTGGGATAAAAGTATTTTGGCACTCTACGACCCCTATTCCTTAAGTCAGAAGTCGTGTGAACCCTCCACACCCCCACTCAGCACAGTGCCAGCATACCCTGTGGACCTGATGTCAAACACTGCACAAAACACCACCCTCAGCACCCAGCATCCAGGCAGACCTTAGCTCCAGACATCACAGGCCACAGAAAGCACCACACTCAGTACCTGGTACCAGTGGACCCTGAGGATTCTGGATTCCAAGGTTAGAACTTCCACTGATTTCCATAGTTGCTGCGCCCATTTACACGTCCACTAACAGTGAATAGTTTCACCCTTTCCCCACATCCTTGTCATCATATTGTCATTTATTTCCTTGATGATAACAATTTTGGCCAGCTTGAGGTGGAACCTCAAAGTAGTTTTAGTTCACATTTCCCTGATGGCCAGGGATTTGTCTACCCAGTTTCTGTGCAGGCAGACAAAAGGGACAATGATTACTGAAGAGCCTCTGAGGAGATGGGAGGGAGAAACATTTAAAATACACATTTAATATCTGCTCTACAAAAGAGAAGTCAGATGATATGGGAGAAAGATAAACTGATCTAGAAATTTAAGAGTCTAGACAGTAAGGGAGATTGATTGTGGAAAAACAAAGTGCTGACACATGCTCTAAACATAGCTGAACATCAAAAACATTACACTATGTGAAATAAACCATCAAAAACTGTTACATATTTCATAATTGTTTTCTTTGAAATGTCCAAAATAGTCAAATCTAAAAAGATATTACTGATTGCCTAACACTAGAAGAGACAGAGGGTGGAGGGAGGTGAAGGTTGCAGGGCTTCCATCTGGAGCAGAGTATGTTCTAAAATTGACCATAGTGATGCTTACACAACCATTATATTGTACACTTTGAGTGAGCTGTATGATATGTATACTGAATCTCAGAAAGACTGTTGAAAAAAAGAAAGCATAAAAGATATGATAATTATTAATATGATAGTGATTTTAATAAGTTTCACAATCACAGCAGTCAATGTATATTAATATAATAAATAAAAAAGGATTAACACAGCAGCAAGTATTTGTTAATGCAAAGAAATATAGCAGCCAACATTTAATGAATACCAATTATGTAGTAGAAGTAGAGGACATGTATGATTATGTGCACCATTATATATAATTGCATTTAGTTAACACAGTGATCCTATGAAGTAGGCACTGTTATCTTCATTTATCAGATGAAAAATAGATGTAATAGAGAAGTCATGCTATGCCAAAGGCTTTACAATAAATTATATTTTACCAAATTGGCCATCAGACTACACTTATTGAAACAGTAAGAAGATGCAAATGGTAACTTTTTATTTTTGCATCATCAGCTTCAAATTCATAGGCAACATTTTACAAATGTTGGTGAATGAGCTAAAAGATTGATTTCAGATGACAAGATAAAGTGGGAAGGAAAACCTGCTTCTTACTCAGGGTAACAAAGTGGTGGCCATGACAGGAAAGGGAGCATCAGGAAGGAAATAAATGCCATTCTTGGATGTCTAGTGAATTCTTATTTAAACATAAAAACATTTATATATGAGTCCCATCCCCACAAAAATTCAATAAAATATACATTGAAGGAGAGAATTTTACAAAGTTGATATATCACACCAATAATCTTAAGGTAAAAATCTATAGGTTACTAAGTCATAAAAACATTTTTATGCCTGTTCCATTAAAAACATTTAGTGAGAACTTGTAAAAATATATTAAATATAAGTATTCCATCTATTTAGTATAAAAGTTAAAAAAAATTGCATTTTCTACCTTTAGAGAAAGCTTCAAATAAAGAACTAGTGGTTTATTCCTTGGGTTTGGTTATTTATTTTTCATGAAAGAATAACTTAAATATCAATTCCCTTGAATTAGCTCTGTGGATAGAGTCCTGTTGCCAGTCAAATGGGAGACCAAGCAGCTCACAGCAGACACATTCTTCTACCCCCAGTGGCATGTGCTCCTGACTGTCACTGTGTCATTGCTGTGTGTTTCATTTTCAGCGACACAATGCTTCTCTGAAGTCCAAAAATCTGTGCAGCTGGCTTGCCTGCAATGGCCTTACATACTACAATTCTATTCTTTCCTGGAGAGAGGGTCACTTCATGGGAGAATGTAGAGATGAAGAAGAAAAATGAAAGAAAAATTCAGCTTCAGGGGTCACATGGGCTTGGGAGGAGCCTCTGACTCCTTTCTTTGACCAGTTCCATCTATGTGAAGATAAGTCAAAGGTCCTACTTGACTATGGCTGACTCCACTTGGAAGCATGGAGGAAATGTTTCCTCTGGTTATTAAATGAATAATTTTTTAAAAAATTCAGCCTCATCACAGGGATCTGAAAGTTTCTGAGACATTTGCTTCAATCATAAATCTAATGATCTTAGGTATTATAATATATGACCTTGTTGCTTACATAATGGTTGGAGGGCATATTCTTGATAGAAATTCCTGCCTTGTGTTATCATTCAACATGTATAACACCCATCATGAGTGACAGCCACTGTATCAATCTGAAGGCGAGGACTCTAGCCAGGTGTGGTAGCTCAGGTTATTCTCTTGTCAGTGCAGTTGACTTCATTGGTCTCCTTTATTCCAGCATTGTATGCTATTTTGCAGGAAGACTGGCCTCTGAGAATTTTTTTCCCAGGATATTAACATCACTTTTGTCAATGGAAAAAGAGAGCAACAGAGCAGAGTCTTTGTACCCATTTGTACTGACATTACAGTGTTACCTGGCATACATACACACATATACACACAAAAGGAAAAGAAAGAAATGTCTATTAAAAGACTTTTCATGCTCAATTTAACCACAACAGATTACCTGAAGTTCATTAGAATATTAATTTTCTGAAAACCATATTCTAAAAGGAGTAGAATTCCTTAAAAATTAAAATTCACCAACATACATGCCAGGTGTGGTGATGCATGCCTTAAATCCCAGTGCTTGGGAGGCAGAGGCAGACAGATCTCTGTGAGACAGAGGCCAACTTGGTCTATACAGTGAGTTCCAGGCCAGCTGAGGCTATGGAAGACCCTGTCTAAAAAAATAAAAAATTCACCAACATGTATAATTCATTAAACCAAATCCAAATATTACCCAACCTTTTCCTATGTTATACATTACTAGTGAATCAACATGTATTATAAAGTATATTAAAACGTGTATTATAAAGTATATTAGAGTTAATACAGAAGGATTGGTATCTAGAAACAGATGATTACTTCTAGGCCTTTTTGGCCAAGATCATGTAAAACAGACGAGAAAATAAAATTTTAAGTTAAATACAAATACAAGATTTTAAATTTTGCCAGACCTTTGGAGACTGCCTGAGAGCACCAGGCTTGGCTTCTGTGGGGTGAGCATCCCAAATCGTCCCATACCCATTCTCCTGCAATCCCCCACCCCACTGCCCCATGACCAGACTTCCCTACTGGCTAGTAGGGTCCCAGGCCTTTGGAGACTGCCTGAGAGTGCCTGACTCACACCTAACTTGACCTGAATGAAGTGACCTTCCAAAATCACTCTGCACACATTCACTTGAACAGTCTGCAGTCCCTCCTACTGTGCCAGGTCTTAGGCTTCCCTGCTTACTAGTAGGAGCCAGCACATTCATCTCCCATCTCCTCTCCTTGGACCTTGGCATTATCTATCTGAGGCTTCTGAAGTGCTCCTGGAGAGTCCCTAAGTAGCCTGACTGGAGCCATTTATATTAGTCCCTCCAATATAAAAGCAAAAGAGAGAGTCTGAATCCTAGGCAAGCAAGCTTTTCATATGCAGTCAGAAAAGTAACATCAATAACACAAACAGCATCAAATTTCAACTCAACAAAGTAAGGCTTGAGTTTCATACCAGAATCACAAGGAAGGAAAGAAATCCACATGCCAAAACCACAACAACAAACAAATAATATGAAACACCAAAATAATATGCTCCTACTAAATCCTACCAGTCCTATATAGGGGTTCTACAATGAGAACCCCCTAGAGATAACCCAGGACATAGAATGTAAAACAAGAACAATCATAAACATGATCAAAGAAGTCAACAAATTTAAAGAACACACAACAACTGAAAGAACTAAAAGAAGATAAGGATAAACTTCTGAGTGAATTCACAAAAGAGAAATATTGAAGAAAACTCAGATTGAAATGAATAAGGAAGTGAAAAACTCAGTAAGTTAATTTGGAATGATAGGAGAAAGCCTCACCAATAGAATGAAAAAATGAAAAACAGAATATCAGGATTGGACAATAAAGTTGAAGAATAGGGCCACTTAAGCCAAGAATGTGAAAAAAAAAAAAACAGGAATGGAATATGCAGGAAATGTGAGGCACCATGGAAAGACTAAATTTATGCATCATAGGCATAGAGGAAAGAGAAGAATCTCAGGTAAATGGCATTGACTAGATTTTTCAACAGGCTTATAGAAGAAAATTTCCCCAAATTAAAGAAAGAAATACCCATACAAGTACAAGAAGCACATAGAACACTAAATGGACAGAACCAGAAAAGAAACTCCCCATGGCACATCATAGTAAAAATATTAAATGTACAGAACAAAGACAGAATACTGAAATCTGTAAGAGAAAAACAATTCACATATAAAGGAAACCCCATCAGAATTATTTTTCAATGAATTACGTTTCAATGAAAACTATGAAAGCCAGAAGATCCTGGACCAAAGTATTCCCAATTCAAAATGACCATAGACACCAACCCAGAATATATTATGTCTACAAAAATACAAAAATGTCTATTATAGTTGAAGGGAAAAAAAATCTTTTGTGACATGAATATGCTGAAAGAATACATTTCCACAAAACCAGCCCTTCAGAGAATACTTGAATCAATGCAAAGAGCTGAAGAAAGGAACAACTATACCCAAAGGGAACAGAAAGAAACTAAATAAAGGTATAATTGTGGAAATACAAATTTAGACCAAGAATGCAAACAGAAATTAAAATGATGACAACCAATACACATCTTTCAATAATAACTTTAAATAACATGGACTGAACTCCCCAGTCAAAAGACACAGGCTAGTTGAATGGATTAAGAAACAAAATCCATCTTTTTGTTGTCTTCAAGAAACCCATCTCACCTTCAAGGACAGCCACTGCCTTAAAGATAAAGGATGGAAAAAAAAAAATACTCCAAGCAAATGGCACTAAGAAACAAGCAAGGGTTACAATTCTAATATCTGACAAAGTGGACTTCAAACTAAAACTAATCAGAAGAGATAGAGAGGGTCACTTCATTCTCATCAAAGGAGCAATTGACCAAGAAGATATTACAATCATGAACATATATGCACTAAACTCTGGTGCACCCAATTTCATAAAAACAGTACTAAAGGACTCCAAAACACAGATTACCCCAACTCAGTAATAGTAAGGGACTTCAATATCCCACTGTCTCCACTAGATAGATCAACTGGACAAAAAATAAACAGAGAGAGATCTGAATTAAATGATACCATTCATCAAATGGACATAACAGACATCTATTGAGTATTCTACCCAAGCACTAAAGAACACACTTTCTATTCAGCAGCCCTTGGAAGTTTCTCTAAAATTTACCACATACTGGGACACAAAAAAAACCTCAGCATACACAAAAAAAAATTGAAATAATTCCATGCATTCTATCAGACCACAATAAAATAAAGCTTAAAATCAACATGAAAAGAACCTCTCTCTAGTAACTGCATGAACTCATGGAAACTAAACAACACACTCCTGAATGATGAGTGGGTCAAAGGAGAAATTAAGAAAAAAATAAAAGTATTTCTGGATCTAATGAAAAGGACAATACAACACAACAATACTTCTTGGACATTTTTAAAGAAGAAATTTATAGCTCTAAGTGTCTACATTAAAAAATCCAAAAGAAGCCGGGTGTGGTGGCGCACACCTTTAATCCCAGCACTTGGGAGGCAGAGGCAAGTGGATCTCTGTGAGTTCAAGGCAAGCCTGGTCTACATAGTGAGTTCCAGGACAGCTGGGGCTATAGGGAGACCCTGCCTCAAAAAGACCAAAAAAAAAAAAAAAAAATCCAAAAGACCACAAATAAATGAGTTAACATTGTAACTCAAGACTCTGGAAAGGCAAGGACAAACCAAACTCAAACCTAGCAAATGAGAAAAAATAACAAAAATCAGAGGAGAAATTAGTGAAATAGAAATAAGAAAAAAATACAAAGAACCAATGAATCTAAGAGCTGGTTCTTTGAAATGATAATCAAGATAGCAGACCCTTAGCCTAGTTAACCAAAAGAAAGAAAGAGCAAATCCAAATCAACAAAATCAGAGATGAAAAGGGAGACATCACAAAGGACATCAAAAAGATCAAGAACATTATAAGGGAATATTTTAAAAACCTATACTCTATTAAGTTTGAAAAGCTAAAAGAAATGGATAACTATCTAAATTTACAGGAACCAACAAAGCTAAACCAAGAAAAGATCAACAGCTTAAACAAATATAACAAATAAGGAAGTTAAAACAGTAATACAAAACCCCCAACTGAAAAAAGCCTAGGCCCAGACGGATTCACAGCAGAATTATATCAGACAGTCAAAGAAGATTTACAACCAGTACTACTTAAATTATTCAAAACAGAATCAGAGGAAGAACTCCCAAACTCCTTCTAATACCAAAGCCAGGTAAAAATACAACCATAAAAGAAAACTATAGACCCATATCCTTAATGAACGTGGAGGCAAAAATTCTCAACAAAATACTTGCAAACTGCATATGGACACACACATCAAAAATATCCACCATGATCAAGTCAGCTTTATTACAGAGATGCAGGGATGGTTTGGTATATGTAAGTCAATAAATGTAATAAACCATATAAATGGACTCAAGGACAAAACTCACATGGTCATCTCAATAGATGCAGAAAAGGCCTTTGACAAAATCCAGCATACATTCATGTTAAAAGTCCTAGAGGGAATTGAACTAGAGGGAACATACCTCAACATAATTAAAGCTATATACAATAAATCCACAGCCAACATCATTCTAAATGGAGCAAAACTGGAAGCATTCCCATTAAAATCATGAATGTATATCTGTT